AGCAACAGGAAAGACTGAGGGATTGTCATGCTTGTAAAGTTTATATACTTTCTGCACTGTTAGGAGCGACAGGCACTGGGGAGCTCTTAGTGCCTGGTGTACTCTTGCTCTTTAGATGGTGAAGGAGAAAGAGGAGAGGAGATCCCAAAGTATTGTTTTGTTTTGCTTTGTTGTATTTTTATTAGTGATAAAAAGCAGAGATTGAGGCTGATCCCAAGAACATTAAGTGGTACCCAGTTTTCCAGGTGTAAGCTATTTACAGCTCCAATATAGCATACCTTGCTTCTGCTATTTATCTTTCAGGAATCAAACCCAAAATCTTTGCCTATATCCTTTCACCTGTTTCTAACATGACTATGTGTAATGCAAGATGATGTTATCAAGCACTATTGCAACATGTCCAGCTCCCAGAAGCACTTGTAGATCTCCTTACCTATGCTGTGACTTGTGTCTTTCAGCCCTGACTCCATCCCAGATGGTTTGGTGTGAATGATGGTTCTTTCATGGTGTGTGCTGGTGATGAATATTCCCCTTGAGTCTCTCCCCATCCCAGGTTTGCTCTGTCTATTGGAAAACACGATGGAGGGTCAATGGATACATGGTGCTGCCTCTGGCCAGCAGCTGGCCAGGAACTGCTCAGGGTGTAGAGGGACAAGGATGGCACCTACCAGCAAAGCAAAGTGTCACTGCCACAGGCAGGCACCAGCTATAGAACCAATACAAGGAAATATGTTTTAGGCAATATATAATTAACCTAGATATAGATCTTGATGCCACAAGACAGTGGTGAAGGCAAGAACTTAAGAGGACTTTTACAAGGAAGAGACAGTTATGTGGATAATGAGAATAACTCATGATTAAAGGAGTCAGGAATCCTTTCTCCTTTATGGTTTTTCATTTTTCAGATGATTGCCATGACCCCTTTATCTATAAGGGCTTGAATCAACTGTGAACTGTCATTGTTAGGGAAAAACCCCTCCCTTTAAGGGCAAGTTATTAATAGTGGATTGCTGTGGGTTTTGTGGTACCTTTCTCTGAAGCATCTTGTGATGGCTGAGAGGAACTGACCATGGGCAGAAATGCCTGGGTCTCCTTTTAGTTTCCAAAACCCATTGCAGGCCCCCAACCTTACTGGGAAAGATGTTCGGAGTGGGACTGTGGGAATGAAGGGCTGGGGTGGGGGGAAAGCCTGTGCACAGGTTCACTTGTAATTAGGAGATTTGCACTTTGAAAGAATTTAATTAATAATGAAACTTCTGACTGAATGATGGAGATTGTGAAGACCAGCTTTGTCGGTAGCTGAAATTAATTACAGGCTCAGGAAAAGGAGGGGGTGAAAGATGCAGGGAGGGGGAGGCATCACCGAAAGAAAGATGATAAACCTGGCTGCAAGCTGTTGCTGTGGTGACAGGAGGCAGTCGTTGTGGTTGACAGCGGTGACACATTGAAGGCAGCAGGTACTTCTAATTACCCCCTCCACCGACCCAAGGAGGCAGCAACCTCTCCCGACTCTGGGCAAGAAATGTTCCAGTTTTCTTCTTGCACTTTCTTACTCTCTGCTGCAGGTTGGATGTGCCTTTTCAGGGTCCCTGCCTGCTCTGAAAGGAAAACCATGGGTTTTTCCTAACCAGTTTTTCCTAACATTGCTTCAATAGCCTGGGAGCAGCCAGAGATTCAGCAGTGTCTTTGGGAAGCCTGGACAATGCGGGCAAACTTTCAGAGAGATGGTATCCAAAAAGTAGGGGAGGAGAAATTTGAGTGCAGCTGGCCACAGCTTTTTGAGCAGGAAGATGAGGGCCTTGCACATCTGGTCCAAACTGCGATATTTTGGGGAGTGCTCGCTGTGGCTGGCCAGGTCTTGTGCTTTGGGGTCTTGCCAGCTGCCTGAAGGCACCATGCATGGCTTGGAGGGGGGCACTGCAAGGGGAGCAAGAGAAGCAAAGCAAGCACGGAAGCATCCTGACCACCCATGCACTGCTGCTGCCAAAGCATGCGCACAGAGGTGTAGATCTGTATGAGATAAGCCCCTGACTTTGAGTTTCTTTGCCTGAATTCCCTGAATTTGGTTGCAGTTAGAGAGTAGTGCTTTCTGCCTCCCAGGTCTCTTACATCATGTTTTCTGGATGTTTGCCAAAGAAGAAAAAAAACCCTGGCTTTTAAAACTATTTCTGTTTTTCAGTTTTTATGTATTAATTTCATCTAGAGCTGTTCTGAGCACTGGCTTTGTCCGTATCTCTCCTGACTGCCTTATGCCAAGGGAGAGGGACTTTTGCTGCCATTGGCTCAGTCTACTCCAAAACACCGTTGGTCCCTTGAAGAGTGTTATTCAACACTGATCCCTCTGTCAGTGTTTCACTGATGCTGCCTTTCCAGTAGCTGTCAAAGCACCTGCTGCGAAATGGAGAGCTGGGACTGCTCAGCCTGGAGAAGAGAAGGCTCAGGGGGATAAATACCTGATGGGAGGAATATAAAGGAGACAGACTGCTCAGTGGTGCCCAGTGACAGGGCAAGAGGCAATGGGCACAGCCTGAAACATGGGATATCCCTTTTAAACATAAGAAAACACTTCTTCATGGTGTAGACAGTCAAACACCGAAGCAGGTTGCCCAGAGAGCAAGGATGGTGCCTCCATCCTTGGAGATATTCAAAACCCAACTGGAAGTGACCCTGAGCAATCTGCTGTAGTTGATGCTACTTTGAGCAGATGTCTTGGACAAGATGACCTCCAGAGGTGTCTTCCACCTTTAACCATTCTGTGGTTCTGTAATCTGTGAAAGATGATGCCAAATGTATTTTGAAAAGTCCAGAAGTGAATTGCAGTCTTACCCAAATACCCTGTGGGAGTTAATGGAAACTTCTCTGGTTGCTTTCCTGGGCTTTGGATCAGATCATTAAAGATACATGTAAGAGAGGGAAAGGTGGAAAGTTGAAGTTGTGTTGTGTAGACCTCTGAGGGCAAGCATCCTATTAATGTCCTTTTGGTGTATTCCTCTCAGAAAAGGCCTCTGGTTTTTGAAGCCTACATTGAGGGTGGGCTTCACATGCATCACTTTGTACAGCACCTGGGATTAATTTAGTGAGGGATAGTGATGACCTATTCTTGAAATCACCTCATAGCATGATTGGCACAATAGAGCTGGTGCCCTGCTCTTGTCTGATTTTTCAACTGAAAGTAGCTAACCAAAAACCAGGTGAAGCAGAAGAGAAAGAATTAATAATCTTCTAGAACACATTGTGCATGTTAGTCATGAATCAGTTAGAGAATGAACATGGAAGAGTTGCTCAGAATGAACCACAGATGTTGAGTGTCTTTCAGAAGTGACCAGAGATACAGGCCACCGTTATGGATTCAGTTCTGCAAGGATCGAAAATGGGTGCACTAAGTCAATGGGTTGTATTTTAAATGGATAATTTCTTGGCTCTGTTATTTTAAATAATAAGAAAAAAATGTCTAAAAATAGAAACTGAGCAGATATGTTTGAAGTGTGTTTAAAATACCCAAGAAGAAGGATGGTTCTGCCAGAGGCTGAAGGTCCATTCTCTTTAGATTACATTACTGCTTTGCAGTGCTAACCCTGGAAAGATATCACAGAAATATGCCCACTTTCAGAGCTAAAATACTGTAAATGAGTTCTTAGATAAGTGTGTATCAGGTCTTAAGACTCCTTCAGGAGGAGAAGGATGGTGAAAAGGAGACAGGTAGAGGGTGTGGAGAGCACAGAGAAGGTCACACAAATAGACCATTTTTATCCTCTTCTGTAACATATAAATGAAGTGGCACTTCATTAAATTAAAAGGCAACAAATTAAAAATAAATAGGAGGAAACAATTTTTAATGTAAAGTATAATTAGCCAGTGTAGCTCATGGTTACCTACTATTATCAAAGCTGATATTTTGGTAAGATTATCAATAAAGGATTCAAATGAATAAGTAAAGCATCTGCAGGGACACCACTGTAGCTGAGAAAACAATTATAAGCGCTATCAATCCTCATGCTTTAGGGCATAAACAGATCAACAGCTGGGGTCAGAAATGTGATTTTCCCCCCATGGTTACTGAATAACTTAATTAGGCACGTTGTGGAGTTTTATCCAGCATGGGTCACTGCTGTAAGCAGAATAATAGCTTAGATGGACCACTGATCTCTTCTAATATGGCAACTCTTTATCTCTAAGTTCATCCGGGAAGGGAAAGAGGGAGACTTCTAGCCTTGTGTTGTACCCCCCTTCCCAGAAGAGGAATCACTAAGACTCACACAAAGATCCAGCTGTCCATTTTCCTTTAGATCCCTAGATCATAGAATCATAGTGGTTTGGGTTGAAAGAGACCTTAAAGATCATCTAGTTCCAAACACTCCTGCCAGGGCAGGGACACCTTTCACTAGATCAGGTTGCTCAAAGCCCCGTCCAACCTGGCCTTGAATGCTTCCATGGAGGGAGCATCTACAACTTCTCTGGGCAGCCTGTTCCAGTGCCTCACCACCCTCACAGTAAAGAATTTCTTCCTAATATCTATCTAAGTCTACCCTCTTTCAGTTATAAAACAGTTACCCCTTGTCGTATTGCTACCCATAAAGGGTCCCCCTCCATCTTTCTTGTAGACCTCCTTTAAGTAGTGGAAGAGATCTCAGAGAGATCTCCGCTGTGTTTGAATATAGACCACCAAGAAAAGGATCTTCCATTTATTTAGAAGAGTCAGCAAACCAACGAGGGAAGGTACTCAGCAAACCAACAGGAGAGGAGTGAGCATGTCTTTAACTATGACAATGATTTGACTTCTATAGATACCTTAGGCCTTTGTGCTACCTCCACTTTCCTCTTTTCCTCAGGAACTGAGAGGGAAAAACAGAAGAATGTAATAAATCAGCCTATCAGCAGTTGTTATTTCCCTTAGTCTTCCCTTTTTGTTACCCCAAGCCTAGAGCAAGGTTATCTCAGCCATGATGTTTTTACAGAAGCTTTCCTTGACTCTTTTCCACCTGGTTTGAGTGTGTTAGCATGATGGTGATTTTGTTAAACTGCGTTACCCTGGGGATGTACCAGCCGTGTGAGGATATGGACTGCCTTTCTGACAGGTGTAAAATCTTGCAGGTAAGATAACTTCCTTCTTGTTGTGATGGTGCCTCAGTCTATGTCACAAATTTTCACACATGCTTTTGTTTAGCCTGTGGGCAGCACCTTTCCCGACAGGTTGGCAAGCATGTCTCTAGCAGGAAGTAAAATAACAAGAGCTTGCTTTGAGAAGGTAAATGGAGTGAAAGAAAGATAATGAATGAAGTTTACTTCTGACCATGCAAGGCAATAGGATCAGGATAACCTTCCTGATCCTGTGCATAAGCAGGGACTTCCTGACATAGACAGCTACAAGATGTATAGCTCAGAGGTAAGCCAGGGAGAAATAACTAAGGTTAGAAAATTCAGGCAGGAGAGAATAGCAGCCCACGATGCATTTGCTACTTACAGTGAGGAGAAGGGTACTACTGAGTCCACAGGTAATGTGGCATTCAGGATGCCTAAACAGGGAAGATACATACGGTATGCTAGGCAGGGACATGGGTACATCCAGCCTACAAATGCACTAGCTGTGCTTGCTGCTTCCCCATAAAGACAGTGACAGCAAAGGTTGTCACCTGTAGTGCTGCTTAGGCTGCGAAGTTCAGATCTCTGAAGCCTCCATCTGTGATTGGTATGTGCTCTCCAAGCTGTGTATGAAGTTGCACTGTCCTCAGCTGAGCCATTTCCAGCAAGGTGATGAGGAATCCCTCCTGGGAGACTTTGGAAGGGATGGTCTTTCCCTGGCCATGTTTGGACTGGCTCGTGCTAAGCCAGCATATCCTTACAGGTCTGTGTAAGGAGTGTATGTCAATTCCTTAACCTATGGGGAAAAAAAAAACCCTATAAAAGCCCATTGCTTACTTTAACAGTAGGAAGCTGTGATGCCAGGGCTACATGGAATAAGCTTTTCCAGGCTTCCTCTAACTCATTTTTAGAAGTACTGAAATTTGTACTTATCTCACATTCTGTGTTAAGGCTGAGAATGCTTATCAAACATGCTCTTGGGTTTCTGTCTGGCAGGTATTTGATGATTTCATCTTCATCTTCTTTGCTATGGAAATGGTCTTAAAGATGGTGGCTCTGGGGATCTTTGGCAAGAAGTGTTACCTTGGAGATACCTGGAACCGTCTGGATTTCTTCATCGTCATGGCTGGGTAGGTTGATAATCTCTGGGGTTTTTCATTCTGTGTTTGCTAGAGTCTTGCATGGGACAGAAATGATATAACTGAGTGGAAAGTTTCCACTCTGGTGCTACTCTAGTACATCTGCTGGACTGGAATCAGATGTGCTGGGGTTAGCAGTCTATGGAAGAAGCAGTAGAAAAGGTAGGTTATCTCTCCAGGTGGTATGCAGCCATCTATCTCACACAACTTCACTAGAGGGTGTTAATTTGTACCAGCTGGAGAGCTAGCCCAGAAACTTTTTTTTTTTTTTTTTTTTTTTTTAAATGTCTGAGTGGAAGAGGTGTAGCCTTTACCAGAACCAAGCTAGCTTCTGTTTCCAGCAGTAGTGTTTCAAAAGTAGGAATATCATTTTTGTTACTCTGGGAATTTTGTCTTTGTATTGCACTGGCCTTACCCATGGTACTATTGGGACAGGTTGACATTTGAGTGTTTTTTACAACAAAGTTGCTATGGTGAAGCTCTGATTTCCCCTCTGCATGTATGAAGAGGAAAGCTTACCAGGATTTGCCTATTGAATCAGAGCAAAATGTCCATCTCTGATACCAGTGGCCATGTGTTTGTTTTGTTTTGGTTTGTTTTTTTTTAATTTATCAATTTTCAATTAGATTGCCTTGTGGTATACTAAAAAAAAAAGTCAGAAATAAATATGTAATATTGCTGTTCTCACAGCAAACAAGTGAACATCTTTTCAGAGAGAAACCCACACTTTGTGCTTCCTCCTATCAAGGAATTAGCTGAATTTGTTGTAACCTGTAAGCGTGTGTATTGCTGACTGAGACAGCAGAGAGTTTGAGCTCACTTTTCAGAATCTTCCCCTGTGGTGCAGAGCAGCACTGTCTTTATATTTGCTTTTGACACAGTTCTTCTATAGAAAGACTTGAAAGTCATTCCCTCTGGAGAGGCATATAATTGTTTGCTTCTTTGGGGAGCAGAGATTTTCAAACTCAGTTCATTTGGAAAAGTTTGAAAGCTGATTCTCATCCAGCTTGTGCATGAAAGGAGGACAGGCAGATGAAAGCTGTAGCTTTTTCAGAATTAACACAACATGTGTGAGATGGGAAAATCTTTCTTGTGGCTGAGCCTGCTGTGATGAGCATCTGATTTAAAATGGCCTGGCATGGGGACTGTGAGTTCATCAGGAAAGGGTAAGTTAAAGCACCTGACATATGGTGGTGAGAAAAGGCAGATCATTGTATGTTCTAGCCTGAGCTCCTGGTGGTAAAATTACTGGTGACTGGATGCAAGGAGAGCAAGATCCTACCACAGCAACCTTTGAGGAGGAAAAGGAAGAACAGGTGTGTTTGAAAGGGGGACCTCTGTGTGGGTGATGTGCTGTGGTATGCTGGGAGGAAGGCTTTTCTAGGTGGGCACAGGATCACTAGCATATGGGGTAAAAGGCTTGGAACTGGGGAAGTCTTCCTCTGCCTGGTGTCCCTGCAAGCATGCTATCTGGAGACATGAAAAAAGCAGTGGGGCAATGCTAAATGAAAGAGGTTGAGCTCAAGTGCTTATTCCATGCAGGAAACAAGTGAAATCCATGCTACCTAGGTGAGAAGGGAGGTAAACTTCATTTATGTTTCTCTCTGTCACCATTGCTAGCAGAAATTTGAGGAGGGAGTCTTTTGTGCATCTGATAGCATTACTAGGAAAAAAGCTCATATCTGAACTCCTTTTCAATGCCAAGGAGACCTAGAATCAACTCCTTAGGTATAAAACAGCCAGTGTGGAGGACTCTTCATTTCAGATCCAAAACTGAAAGAAATTTGTTTCCTGATTTCTATACAATTGTCCTCATGAGGTGTCAGGCTGAAATGATAGTCATCTCATTAGAATATGTAATCTCAAAAGACTTCTGCTAAAGAAAGATTTTTCCATTTAGTTATATAGAACTAATGACTATATAATGTATTTTGAGTTATAAAAGCTTGTGGTTATTAATTCATTATTCTTTGAAATTCATTAAAATTGTCTGCACTGTTTAAATCAAATCCAAGGCTCAAACTTGTCCTTACATACAGACTGTAGGCTTTTATTTAACCTTAAATTTAAGCACCAAGCTTTATCCTGAGTGTTCCCATACCTGGATCATGGCTTCAGCTTATTCTGGGTCCAGATGCTGCTTTAGCCTTATGATTAAGAGAAGACATCTTGCATCAGATCTTGCATATTTTCTCCATGCCAGAGAGTTAAATCCTGATCAGAGGCTAATCAGTTTTCTCTAAGGGCCTTCTCCTTTTCATGGTCCTGGACTCTCATTGCCTGCAAGGGAGGTCATAAATTTGTCTCTCAAGGAAACATCCATGATGTTAGGAAGTGATGCACTACCTAGAAGATGTGCAGCTTCTCTCAATTTCAAGAATAAGGACTGTACTTCCTAGCCCCTTCTCTTCCCTTCTCCCTTTTCAACTAAACACTGAGGCAGCAAAGGTTGGAAGAATAAACTGTAGCATGGAAAAGCAAAGTGCAGGCAAGGGACTGCTCTGTCAGGCATTCCTGGGCAGCTGAGATACCTCCATCTGTCTAGCTGCATGACAGCATGTTTTATCAAAGAATATAATGACAATTTGCTGCTATTGCCCCAGACGGTGTTTTGGTTACATAAACCATGTATTCAGGCATTCGTTTGTAGTTTTCTCCTCATTTCCTTGGAAAGCCAGAAGCTATAGTTTTAGTTAGCTGAATTCCCTCACATGGCCTTGCCCTGCTTGCCCCTGCTCCCCACGCAACCAAGCAGCTCAAGGAGGAAGACTCCATTGTCACTAAAAATGTTCAGTTTCCATGGAGATAGGAGCTGACATCACCAGAACTTTCTCCTCTCTTGCACATTCCCTCCCCCAACCACCTTCAACACCCTTTTTTTTTTTTTTCAGAAAGGATTAGAAAAAAAACCCAAACAGTCCTAAATCAACACTCTCCTCCATTGTTCCCCTTGGAGCTCCTAAAACTGAGCGAGGTAATTTGGGTTGAAGAATGCTGATGCCCTTGTGCCCACAAGCATTCAGGGCTGCAGATTGAGCTTGCCGATGCTCCAGTTCCCAACTGCTCGCTGGCAACAGGAGGTTGCAGGTTCCCAGACATTTCAAGCAGACTGTTCTCATTACCAGCTGTCCTGGTAGGAGTCCCTCTTCCCCTGCATTTGTGATTAGGTCTTGTCTGTCGTCATTTGTTTCCCACAATGATGGGTGCATTTGGAGAGCTTGATCTGAGGCAACTTCAGAGGGCAGCTTCCTAAAGTTGAGAGCCTACTATGTTTTGAAAGTTAGATAATGTGAACACTAATCATATTGGAAAAGTCAGCCAGTGTCTATATGTGCGTGATTTTAGGAGAAGTGTCACTTATTTCTGGGATAGCACTCATCAACTTTTTAAGCCAGGCAGTTCTCTAGGAAGAAGAGTGAGCAATTTCTCCTGGTTGCTCTACTCTGTGAAGCAGTTGTGTTTGTGTGCAGTTGGCAATGATGCCACTGTTGTTCTGGAAAGGATGATGTCCCTTCCCGTGACTCTGTCCTGAGGGTCCTCATGCAAGGAGGGAATTCATGCAACCTGCCTGGGCTTGGGGGCATTAATTCCACTGAGGGAGTAGTTGGTTTGCCTCTCTTGAGCCAAATGCTGTAATTAATGATTTGTGGTGGGAATTATGTCTGTCTGCCATCTTCTGCAGCATCCCCACAACATGTTCTGGTATATAATTTACTTCTGTAAATAGGTAGGTAGGTTAAGGAGGAGAGGGCTTCACTATGCGGCTGGGGGGATGAATGTGTTTATAAGTGTGTGACCAAAATATGTCCAAAATCTTTCCTTAACTATTTGCTGCCTGGAGTCCAGTGGCTGAGGAGAGGCTGATCTACCTTTCAGAGAATGCACCGACTTTGCCTCTCTCCATTATCACACTGGAATTTGCCACATAGATCTCATAAACTGTGGTCAAATCCCATCCTGACCTCACCTTTGATGAAAAGAATGGCATGACTTGTGTATTTTGGCATTTTGAGACATAACTAGCAGTGGTTTTTAACAGCTTTTAAAAGTGGTGGACATCAGAACAAGACACAGTGCTCTGTGTAGCTGCTTCAGTGCCTTCAGTGGTAACACTGTCCCTCTGTTCTAGCCTGAGATTTCCTAGTTCCTACTGTCAAGCATTGCAGTAGCCCACCTGATCAATTGCAGCATCTCCCTAACAATTCATTCAGCTGCTTTCTCTACTGGCTCCCAACTTGGTTGGTTGGGTTTTTTTTTCCTCTCGGTCTCCTCTTCTGAAGTGAGAAAATCCCTTCCTATTAGTAGGAACAGAAAACTTTGTTCCTAGATGTATGCTGTTCCATTTGTTCATGCAGGAATATGTATTATCTGCATTTCCAAAGCACTTCATACTGTTCTATATTGCTGACTTGTTCTCTTCATTTCTTTTCTGTTCTCCCAAAAATACGCTTCAACTGCAAAATCCACCAGTGATTTTTTTTTTTTTTTTTTTTTTTTTTTTTTTTTTAATTTTTCTGCTAGGTTGTGATAAATAAATAAAGAACAGAGCAACATGAATTCTGCATTACAGAAGTACATCTGCTCATGAATGAGTCCCCATTTACTGTTGCATGTGAGGTTTATTACTTAGCCAGTTTTTCTCCGGCTAATGTATGTCATGATGATTTCATATCGTTCCATCCATATCAACATAATTACTTGTAGACTTGTAATCTCCTAAGAAATTATAGCACATTAGTTTGAAGATGACTATTTTTCCTTAAACCTGTGTTGATTATGGTTAATTTTATTATCCACCTTTAATCCGCAATCTATCAAAACTGTATACTGGCATTTTCATTGCTGTATTGGGATCAGAATCAGTCCAGTCAGCCCACTGAGATCACTGTATTGCTAAAGTACTGGCACAACAGCAGAATTTCTTTGACCCTTGGATGCTTTCCTGGCTTTCTGAGACTAATCAAAAATTATCAGTAGCAGTCCAGATCTTT